TTTCACGTCATTGACTATCAGGTTGCACTAGCCGTCGAAACCGACCGAACTAGAATTTTCGGTTCGAAATTTTATATTTTGATTCAATTATATTTTATTTACTTTGAAGTAATATTTTTTTTATTCAATTTATAATATGCATTTATTAAATAATATTTTACACTTTCATTATCATTATTGTGTAGTTAATACACTTTTCATAAGTACAGATTTGACTTATGTACCAAATTGGAATTTAATAAAAACCCTAGAATCTATCATTATATAAAAAGAATAACCATTTTTTAAAAATGGTAAGTCAAATTCTTAGTCAACATATTGTGCATTAATTACTTTCCATTAATGGTAATAAATATTTTTTTTAAAACTTCTCTGTGCAATTAATGCTTTCCAAGATTTTTGGGATGTTGTTATTTTGTAATTGACCAATGCGTTAGAAAATCTTATCCTATAAAATTCTCCTTAATATAACACTTATTTTATATTAAGAAATAATAATACCACGAATTTTGATTTTCAATTCTTCACAAATTAAAGAATCTTATAAATTAAATGTCAGCACTTAAAAAAATCGGCCTCTCCAAAACTCTATCCGAATTTTATTTAAAATTACGAATACCTTGCTCAATCAATTCTTCAAAATATAAGTCCGAGTTATTGTCTAATAAATTTTTTTAGAGTATCTACTATATAAAAAAGTAATTCTCCAAAATATAAGTCCTCTAATAAAACTTTTTTAGGATATCTACTATATAAAAAAATTAGCGCATGTTGTATAGTCTAATTATTTTTTTATGGTATTTGTAATTACTAATATTTTTGCTTAAATTTATTAATGTTTGTTAGACCAACAGTTTTTTAGACTATAATATATAACAGTGGATATAACTCTAAATATATTTTTATATATAATATTATATATAATTTAAACATGTTGTTTGAGTAATTTTTTTTACACAAAGTGTATATATATAGAGAGAGAAATGTTAACTTTAAGTGATTTTAGATACTTTTTTTATAAAATAGTTTAGAAGAAAATGAGATAATTTCATATTTTTCAAGAATAATATATAATATTTTAGATACTTTTACACACTTTATATAATAGTTTAGGTATTCTTAATGTTTTAAAAATATTTAGACAAATTTTTACATATTCTCTAGATTAAGAAATTGTTTTCCTTACAAAATAGTTTAAAAAAATTTTGGGTGACTTCACACATATTTCAAAAATGATGTAAAATATTTTGAATACTTTTTAGATATGTGATATAAGATTTTGTATTACATAAAAAGAGAATAAGAGTTATAAAGCATGGTAATTTTAGATATAAAATTCTATTTTATTTGTTATAACTTACATGGAAGTTATGTTTTAATTATCGATATCATCTCAATGCCTTGCTTTGCTGTTTTTTTTTTTACTTCGTTTCGCGAGACAATATCTCTTATTAGACTCATAATATTTTATATAATTTTAAACATATTGTTTAGACAATTTTGTACACATTATACATGTCCACATACACATATACATATGTTAAATATAAATAGTTTTAGGCATGTTTTTTTTACAAAATAGTTTTAAAAATTTTTAGATGACTCCACATCTTTCAATAATGATATTTAAAATTTTAGATACTTTTACATATGTTATATAATATTTTAGACGTTTTTAATACTTTAAACAATCATTTTTTTCAAATTCTTTTATACAAGATAATTATATATTGTTTACAACTCATATACGATAAATTATATTATGTATGAAGTTCACATCTTTAATTTATAATTATTAGTTAATATTATTTAACTTCATCTTTAATATATAATCATTAACTAATATTGTTTACCCGTGCATCGCACGGGATACGCACTAGTTGTAATTAAGCCCCTAAAATCTTGAAACAGAACGACATTTACGTCTCTCATTCAACAGCAATTCTCAATTCAATTTCACCTCTCGATTCGATTTCATTCACCAGCAATTCTCAATTCAATTTCACCTCTCGATCAATTTCATTCACCAAAAGTTTTTCATCTTTTAATCTTCGGTCTTTCAATTTCACCTCTCGTGCTGGCGACGAGTTTGAGCGGCTCGAAACAACATATTTCTGGTCGATAATTTGCAGTCTCTGTCTCTGCACGCCGACGGATTAGGGAATCTCGCCGTGACGGCCACCGTCGCACTCGACTGATCGGTGGGTGCGTTATCTATTGTGAACTGGACGGCAATCGACAGTGGACTGTGGTCGTGAAGTTCATCGCAGCGATCCACTAGACGGCATCTGCTGTGGATCTTGTGGCGGTTGCAGGATTGTGACGACGGAACATTGCGGGCGGTGGTCGTGACTGTCTGCAACTTCAGGCGAGAGTCCGACGGAGGTAGGCGCTACGTCGGGTTGTCCGGCGGAGGTCGATAGCGAGCGGCGAGATGGATGCGGCACTCGATGGCCGGCGGAGGAACGCGGCGGCAGGCTGCAGTTGGAATGGTCTCCCGTGGAAAATTCTGACTGTTGTGTGTGTGTGAAATCCGATCTGTGTGTGTGAGTATATGAGAGAGAAATTATAGGTTGGTAGTGGTGATAGTGGGTCCCACATGTGATGGGTGTAATTTTGAAATTACCAGTTTGTCCTTATAAATGTGTAGATATGACCATGAAGTATACACTTATTTACAACAATGCCATCCTATGTTTGACTGCCATATTAATGTTTTACTTGATGATAGCCATTGATATGTTGGATCCAACAGTCCATAAACATTCTTATTTCTTTCACTATCTACCATTCTCATATAATCCCTTTTCTATATATAAATATATATAGAGAGAATTGGGATCATATGAGAAAAGGAAGATAGTGAAATAAATAAGAATAAATCTCTACCAGTGAATAAATTTCAATATATGTTTTCTTCAAACATTATTGAAAACGTTGATTGGAATATGTGTTATCTTGCAAGAATATATATAAATATATATAGAGAGAATTGGGATCATATGAGAAAAGGAAGATAGTGAAATAAATAAGAATAAATCTCTACCAGTGGATCTGTTGACAACCGACCTGGTTAGCCGAATCAGAGGACGTCACGTAGAAAATAAACCACGGATATTCAACTAAGTATCGAAGGGCTAGCGGGGAAAGCCGGCTTGGCAAAGTTTGGCATGAAACGCAAAGTAGGCCGACCTCGTCAATTGGACGAGGACCGATTTTCATGAAGAGTCACGAGACTGACCTCCATTTGGAACTGAGGTCGAATGTACATGGACAAGACGCCTATCAACGAGCCGCCAGTTGCACATGTCCTTAGCATTACATATAGGCCTACTTGCAGAGTAGCCGTACCTAAGTGGTTAATTTGCATTAAATGTTACCGAATAAGTCTCAAAAGACGAGCCAAGGATTACTATAAATAGAAGAATTTATTCCAATACGAGGATCCTTTTTTCCGACACATTGAATACTCTCATTAAATAGTTCGGTTCGAAGTAAAACCGACTTCATGTATTGTTAACCCGACTTGAAAATAATAAGAAAACAACTAATTTAAAATTTCTATTCATTTAATCCCATTGATTATCGCTGTTAAATTTAATATAAAAATAATTTGGCGCTAGAAGGAGGGCTTCACAAGATATTTGGAGTTAATCTTCGAACCAGCAAATCTTCTAAACACATTTCAATCACCACTTTCATCATATTTCTATCAAGACCATGTCTCAATCAGGACAAGAAGAACAAACATCTAAGGCCAGTACCTGCCGCAGAGCCGCCCCAACCGCCGGCAGACCCAAAGCAACACCGATGACAATGGATTTTGCTGCAATGTTTCAGAACCCTGAGTTCGTGAAGGGTTTCTCAGCCTTCATTTTTCAGACCATGCCAGGTGCTTCAAAACTATGCCCGGGCAGTCGATAGCACTTATCACCATGGCCAAACAGGAGGCACAACCGACCCAAGGTTAGGTGAATCGCGTAGCCATGTCACACGCTACATCCCATGTAGCGCCCCTTTCGTCTTATATGATATTCCGTGATTTATTTATTTATTACTTGCTCGATTATTATGGTTAATTGATCTTGTCTCGTTTTAGTTATCTGGCTTGTTATTAAATTGTTATGTGGTTAATTTTATATTTATCGTTGTGTGATTGGTGTGTTAGAATTATTTTAATTATTAGTTTAATTGATCGGCAACGTATGGTTCAATCGCGTAGAACCAATTCATCTCGTTTCAATTCGTTTTGAGCCATTTTAAATCCAACAATGGAATTATATTTTAACCCCTTTGATAAGCCCAAATGATGCCCATATAACCGGCCCTATCTGCTCTTTTTTAACCATGTTGCCTTATTAGAGTTTTAATATCATTTATCTTTTGAAATTCAAAGTCGTAGGGATTAAACGTTGGGACTTTGAATAGATTTTCTCCACCTAATTGCACTCCTATCAGCCAAATAATTGTGCCATTAGAGCACCCACAATGCTTTGGGTCTCTTAACAAAAAATCACATGTCATGTAAGAAATAGACCTAGTCTATAAAAAAGTGTTTCACAATGCAATTAAAAGTGGACCTAGTCTAGCTTATGTGGCAATGAAAAAAAGTGATCAAGTCCACTCTTGGGTCTATTTTGGACTCAAGTGTGAACCTTACAATAGTAATCATTTACTATTATTATATTTTTATTGTTTGTTAGGTAGTCTAGACCTAGTATTTGTTTTTTGCATTGGATAGATTTTGGATTTTTTAGCTTGGGTTTGTACATGTCATTATAGATTTAAGTCTATTTATTTGCCACATATTCAAAAAGAGACCCAAAGTATTGCGGGTGCTCTTAGAAGCCTTTATGGATGCCAATTGTGGTAACTTATATCCCATTGATTCACTCCAATCACCAGGAAAAATCTGAAACATTCTCCTCCCTCTCTGGTTCTCGAAATATTGAAGAAAAACCACCACTCGGCCGCTGTTGTACTCCACCGTGCGCTCAACCTCACTCACCAGCCGCCAAGCCGCTATAGCCGCGCGTTCGACCACCACCCTTCACGCGATCCTCGGTCCACATCGTCCCAGCCTCTGTCCACAAGAAGCATATCCCGGTGACGCCATTGTCGAGATCATCACCATTGCCATCCTCTGCTCACACGAGCAAGCACTTGTACACATGCAACACGCATGCCGAGGCCGCCCCCGATCCAGCCACTTTGTCAGATTAGCTTGTATATTCGTTTTGCTGTACGGTATATGGATTTTCCCCTCTGATCCTCTGTGATTAGGTTGTTTTTTTAATAGATCTATTATGATATGGCATGGATCTATATGTTTGCGTTGATATCCTTTTGAACCATTAATGGAAATGGTTAGATCTATGTTCTTTTGTGAAAAATTGTGGTTATATAACTCTTTGGGATGCCCTGAGTCTGTTTTTGAAGCCCTAGTTCGGATTTGAATTCATATAATCATTTTATGCCTTGTGATGTCCTTGATGCCTCATAATCATTAAAAAACCATAACAAATCCGTATACTCGTCCATTTGATCAGAAATTTGGAAGGTAAGTTCAAAATTTCAGCCCTTAACTCAATCCCTAGCCTATAGAACTGTAATTTGCTGTTTATGCCTTGAATATTTGAAAATTTTATATATCGATTGACACGTCTAAATGACCTGAATTTCTGAGGTTAGGAGTCTGTTACTATGTTTAGCTTGCTGTTAAAATTTCAAGTCATAACTCCTACCCGAACCCTTTAAAGTGAAACCCTCTCTTTTTATGCCTTTGGTTCATAAAATTCAATTTATATGTTAGGGTTGTATAGAGGTTATCATTTGGTATTCTGGTCCTTCTTTGAGTTGTTTATATCTTGTAAACATTTTATTTCAATCGCCCAAGCCAAACTCTGAAAACCTCGGTCGAGAAGTGTAAATGCTGGCAGGCCAAGGCTGCAGCCGGCACTGTTGGCAGGCGCCCAGCACGCAAGCCGTGGACGCCACATGCGATGCGCAGCAGTGGCACGTGCGCGTGCAAGGGCCTGCAGTGATGTGCTAAGGCCCGCAGTTGCTTTCCGTGCCGCAGTCATCATCCCATGCGTCGCCCGCACGCCCCTCCGAGCTTCCACGCGCGTTCCAGTGTCGCCCAGCGTTGCCTGCGCGTGACTCCTCGTGCCGCCCGTGCCCGGACGAACCGAGAAACCAACAGTCCGTGCGCAGACGTGCCAAGTGACCCTCAACCATGCCCGTGCGCACCCAGGCAAGCCACCAGTGCCCAGCCGGCCAGCCCACACCCACGACTGCTGTTTTTCAATTTTCTCGAACTCTTTGACCCTTTTACGACCCTTTGACCTAATCTTTTGTGCTAAGTCTATTTTTGACCTTTTTGAATTATTTTTCAAAGTTGTTCCATAAAATCCAAGAATTCCAAATCCCACAAAATTCCACGAAATATTTTGTCGATAATTTTCGATCAAGTATGAATTCTCGTGAATTTTTTTAAGTGTCGAGATAATATATTTATAAGGATTATCTTGATTAAATGTAGGTGTTTGAGGAGTTGATACATCGACCTACGTCCGGCTGTTTGTGTGCTATTGCCTACCCGATTTTCAGGTAGGTATTTATGATGAAATGATAACCTCTTTTGCTTTGAAAAATGACATACATCACAAGGTTTGATATGAGCACAAGAGGCATTATAAAATGGTAACAATTTCAGTTTGTTGATAAACAAGTGGCCAAGTCTGTAATGCCATATATGATTGTCTGAAGTTATGGATGTCATAGCATTTACAGGTAAAGCAGCATTTACATTAGAATGCATAAGAGATGGCAATTGAGAACAAATATTAGCAGATATGCATTCAGGAACTGAGGAGGATAGATGATAGAGACCTCCTTTAAGCTCAGCAAAACCAATCGTTTTGTGAGTTGTTATGTCCTGTATGATACAACAAGAAGATACAAATTGAACATAACAAGAGTTTGTAGCCACTAGTTTAGAGACTGAAATTAGATTGAATGTAAATGTAGGAACATATAAGGCATCAGTCAAAATAATATTATGATCTAATTGCACTGTTCCTATCATAGATGCAATGGTATGACTGCCAGTAGGTAAAGTTATTTTAGTAGAAATAGGTAAAACATTCATGTTGTATAAGGATGAATCACATATCATGTGATCTGTTGCTCCAGTATCAATTATCCAAGAGCATTTAGAAAGCAATTTTGTTGAATTACAAGTGAAAGAAAACTGAGTTCCCAGAGAAAACAGTTGCAACAGCAGGAGTTTGCTTGGGAATATCCTTTTGCAATTGAGACTCCTGTGTCCTTTTGAAAGCTAGGAACTCATGAAACAAGTCATTAGTAACAGAGTCAGATTTAGTGAGTTCAGAGACAGAGTCATTTGTGGTAATGGCATTGGCTGAATGATTGAAGGTTTGTTTATTTGGTTTAGAACTTTGCCAATTTGGGGGATAGCCAACAAGCTTTAACAACGATCAGCAGAATGACCGAGATAACCACAATGAGTGCATTTGAGGCGTTTCTTTTCCTTTGGATCTTTAGAGAATGATGGTTTGAAAGGTTGTTTGAAAGTGTTTGATGTTTTTGCTAACATAGCGAGAGAGTCAACAGGTTTAGTGGTGTTGGATAATGTGCGTTGGCTTTCTTCCTGAAGTAAGAGTGAATAGACTGTGGATAGGGTGGGTAGAGGTGTGGATAACAGAATATGGCTTCGAATCGATGAATAGGTTTCATGTAAACCAACCAGAAATTTCATTACAGAATCATTCTGTTGGGCAGTAACCATGGAATCAAACAGATTGCAAGTACAAGTAGCAAGCACACCACAACGACATTTCAAAACAGGCCGATAAGTAACATATTCATCCCACAGCGATTTGAAAAAATTATAATATTGAGTGATAGACAAATTCCCTTGATCAATAGTACTTAGGGACTTTTCGAGTTGAAAAACCCTAGGTCCACTGCTCAAGGCATAACGAGTACGAATTTCTTCCCAGACATCCTTCGCAGTCGTGAAAAACAAAAGTGACTGACGAATTTCTTTCGAGATAGAGTTAAGAAGCCAGGAAAGGACGAGATTATTCGCACGCATCCAAGAGAGATAAAGAACAGAGTTACCAGTCGGAAAAGGAGCAACAATCGTGCCATCAATAAATCCAACCTTGTTTTTTACGCTGAAAGCCATCAGAACTGCGCGGCTCCAAGAGACATAGTTGTCGCCGTTGAATAGATCGGCGACGATTAGCGCTCCTGGATTATCGCTCGCGTGCAGGTAGAAAGGCGAAGTAGGATTGTCTGTAGGATTTGCGACCGGATTTGCAATCGGAGTTGCCATCGACATCAAATATCATATATCAAGGATAACAGCGGAAGACGATGAAGATCTACAGGATCTTTGACGATGATACCATCTTAGATACAGAAAGATGAAAGAGGAGAGAAAGAGACGAGAGAATGTGAAAGGATAATGAAAATTATGATCGAAAAATTGTGTTTGTACAATCTGGTCTCATCTATTTATATGAGACAAAAGAAACTTTACTAAACCTAATATAATTAGGCTAAACAATGTATTATATATATTTTCAGAGAAAGCCGTTCGGGCCCAGATCATACATCGTCGACACTCCAAACAACTCCCGCGAGCACGCAATCCCGGCCTTCGATAACAAATGTGGGGCCATTCACGGCCAAATTCCAACACCGCCGAACACGCGAGTCACCCCGTACGGCCGAGTATAACAACCTTTCTACCACCTCCATCACTCGATAAGACCCCGCAGGTGCACAATTCTTCACCACCAGTAGCTGTCACTTTCCCGAATCGCCGACCACCTGCCCTCAGCGAGCCTCCTCCCTCGTCCCTCAACCTCCCATGGGATCTGCCGAGTCTTCGCCGCCGTTGTCGGTACCTATCCCTCGGGAAGCAGTCCATCGATTATAGCCCAACCCCTTTCTCTGGCGTGCCCGTACATCCCCGTCAGCCACCACAAGCTCGCAGGGTCAATCCGGTCAACCACCTCCGATAGCAGCATCCCGAAGCTGCACCAATTCGACCGACCACAGCCTCTGTTGGTCCGAGTCGCGTACCATGCGAACCGCCGCCATCCTTCGGTCGTTATCATTCTGTCGCCAACGTCTGTTGCCGGAAAGCCTAGGCGGGTGCGTGAAGAAGAGAAGGGATTTTTGAGATTTTCTATTGCCGTGAGCTTGGGTTCTGCGATTGCCAAAGAAAGGAGAAAGAAATTTGAGAAGAAAAAATTTGGGGATATGAGGGAGAAAGATACGCGGAGAAGAAGAAAGAAATAAAAGAGCAAAGAAAAAGTAAAATTTGGGTTTGAATTGAGCTACATGTTTTGTCTTTATTGGAGTGTTAGTTGGGCCGAGTCAAAGACGTCCATAAAGGAGCTAGCTTCAAACTGATTATCGAACTATTTTTGATCCGTGCCTTCTTCTTAAAGTGCGGCAAGTCTTGAAACCCGCTTTTAAGTCGTATATTTGGATAAACTAATTCGTTAATTTTCGAGTAAAAGAGATAATTTTGTTTATATAAATTATCTTGCTTAGTTTTAAGTTTTCGAGGAGTCGAGCCTTCGAACCTACCGTGATCATTACTTTTGTCCTTTCCGGTCATTTTCAAAACAGGTGGGTTTATTTAAATTTCTATATTGTAAATTGTCTATATTTTGTTGGATGGTGTGATCAATGTATGCATGTGAACCATGTAACCTACGATGTGTGTTGCTTCGGCCGTCGAACGGTTATCCCCGTCGATGTAGTACAGTGCCTAATGAAAGACAGCCTCCCTAAGACCTAATGAAAGGCCATGTCGTTGTGTGATGTAAGGCCTTTGACATGTACTCCCATTAGCCGGATAATGATATGTTATAGACTAATGTTCATGAACTTAGGTTAACGGCGTATAATAGCTAATTAGTCGGGTATATTCTGGGAGCTTGAAATAAGAGTCAATTAGTCGAGTCTACCTGGAGGCTTGAATTCGGGCCGTATAATAGCTAATTAGCCGGATAGATTCTGGGGAATTGAAAGAAGAGTCCATAAGCCGAGTCTACCTTGGGCTTGAAGTCAGGTTGTATCAGTACATGAGTATTATATGTTTAGGGGATGTGATATGTAGATTGATTCATGTTCATGCTACGACCATACCACTCTATCATTTATATTTGGTTTATGTGCATAGTAGTGAGCAAGTTGTGTACTCACTCCAATGATCCCCCATTTCATATTGAGCAGATGGCTGGCATGGCGATAGAAGACGAGTGGTGGCTGGTCCCTTAAATTGTTTTATGATTCGACTGTTCATGATTTCTGCTTATATATTGATAAACTTGGTTTTGGTATTGAGAATGTTTTGAAATTTATGGTGATATTTAAAACTGGATGATTTGGTTTTGTAATGATGATGATGATGTCGATTATATATGATGATATGAGAAATCGTTCAGTCGTGTGAAATGTTTTTTTGAAATGTTGTAATTATGAAATAGTTTTGAGTAATGCCCTATTAATATTTTTTTTTTTCAAATGGATATTCATTTTGACAAATGATAAATTATTTATTTTTCATAAAATTGATTTTCTTCTCTTTTAAAATCGAAAAAAAAAATCTCTTTAAAAATAACGGGGCGTTACAAACATTATTGATGCCATGCTTACATTCTTATTGATGCAATGCTTACATTCTTATTACATTGAGGATGTACGTTTGCGATGTTTAACGCCATGAAGCATCAATCGTGTGATTTAAGCGATTCGAGCATTTTTTTTCTTTTTTGATGTGTTTTTTAACCTATTTAGAAAAATATTGAACCCAAACTATTTAAGAAGAAATTAGAGCACACCTTGAAGACTTTTTGGACAACTTTGAATGGTAAAATAAGCACAAGAGAAGCAAAAAAATCAAGAAGGAAGAGATCGAAGAGCCGAATATATTTCTTTTTAATACTCAATGTTTTATTCTTATTATCATGAGCACAAAACCATGTTTTTAGGCTAAATATTTTGTGATTTTAGAGTTTGTGAGTATTCAAATTAATTTATAAAATGATTTTTATTACCTTTATTTATTTGAGTGTGTCTTTTGTTTATAAACCCCTTGCATTTATTTTTATTGCAAGGGTTTAGAGCTTGTATTTATGCATATTTGTTATTGATTTGACACCAAAAGGAGATATTCGCTTGATGGAATTATGAAATTTGTAACGTAAGAGTCTAAACAGACCGAGAGCGTGATAAAATCTTGCGAGAAAATTAAAATCTTATTAGTAACCGAAAGAGTTAGTTGTTTATCTCAAGACCGAGAGAAGATAAATTGCAATTAATCTTTGATTTAATTTTAGATAGAGAAGAGATAGTCGCTTGTTAAAATTGAAGAATATGTAACGTAAGTGGCTAAACAAACCGAAAGAGGATTTTAAACTCACAGTCAACTGAATGATAAAAATTGAAGTTCACAAACAACACTGAAAGATGAAAAGTCAACCATAGGTAAAATATATATGTAGCAAATAAGTGCATATGCACAGGCCACATTGCATTGAAATTCTATTACATATTTCTTAATCCGCAGAGATTATATAAGACATGAACAGAAAAGTTGAATGGGACAATACATAAAGAAAGTGACGACTATCAAGTAGCCTTATTTAAGCATCGATCGTTTTAGTATATAAAATCTCAAGACTCGCAGTACTACATAAAATTAAAGACATCCGGCGGGGATGTCCAGTTTGGTTCCCGTTACATTCCTGCATATATAACAATAATATTGATTAATGTAACAAGTACAAATAAGATGCATACAAGTATAACTATAACACATAACTAAATATTTTTTCCATTAATTTGCAACATTCCACTCAAGTTCCAGTACGTGTGTGTAATCAATGCGTGATAAAAATATTTCAATTTAAAATTTTAAATGGAAGAACAACTTGGAAAGAGGGATTTTGATTGAAAAAAATTATTACCTTTTTTCTCCACAGCTGTTAAATGAAACAAGTCGGGCTCACACTCAAGTTTAGTTGAGTTCATTGATAAAAAAAAAAAAGCTAAACTTATTAAGTGTGAATCAACTCGTTTCATTCGATAAACGAGCTAAGTTCGAACTCATTTTAAAACTCGTTTAGTTAACGGTTGAAATCGACTCGATAAGGCTAAAAAATATAGATTTTTGTTCAGTTTTCTACAAATTGTCTATTTAATGCTATGTATAAATGAGTCGCGAGCTTGAGTTTGTTTTGTTCATTAAAAATTCCTCCTTTTTTTTATGCACAAAAAATAATTCCTTCCTTTTTACAGCTCATTCACTCCAATTTTCTCCAACAATGAGACTTTTATGTGAAATAGTATTTCGTTGACAATTGAAGTTGGATACATACATTGGTAAAAGTATGTCAATTTAAAATATTATAATTTGTTATAGCTCGTCTCATTGTTATTGATGAATGAAACTTGGATACTTACAGAGGACGTAGGATTGGTTTACACGCCAGGGCCTCAGGTACGGTGCCTAATAAATCTGCATTATCATATAGCCGACTGTCCTTGCAAAAATCAAAGAAATAAGTCGTAAGATAGATAAAGAGATAACACATTATTTAAGTATTTAGTTGTAATAATAATAATTAGAGAAACATATTGAAATACTGGAACTTGGAATGAAGGAGAATATTGTAAATAGTAAAAATTGGTAAATTTAATTAATTATGACTAGCCTGTCCAAAATAAATAACACTAAGGCTAATATTAATTTTTTAACAAGTATGTGTAATTTCAAATCAAAATATTATACTTTTAAGTACAATATAAACAAAAATATGACATTTCATAGTATGAGTAAAAAAAATTTATTTAAAAAAGTATGATTAGTTGTCCGGTGCCAGTCTCATATATAATTATGTAAAATAGTTAAATTCACGTACAGAAACATCAAATTGTTCAAGTTGTCCAGCTCCTTTGGAATTTTGCCAGTGAGATCATTGTCGTAAAGGTCCAAGCTGACCAACTGAGTAAGTTGTCCAAGCTGCTTTGGTATAGACCCATTTATCTTATTACTGTATACCTCCCTATTAATAGTAATTCCCACCAAATCAAATCAAAGCAAACAATAAACAGTTGTCACTCAAAACAATATATAGGAATTGTGTGAGTGAACTAACATCTTTTGGCAGCATAATACGCTATTAATTGTATTTGCAAATATTGCATCATGTGATTGAACTAACATCTTTTCATAAAAACGTAAAAGTGTGCCCAATAATTTGGGTCATAGTGGGCATAGTTTACAACATTCTGCAATTAGTTAGTGAGCAGTTTTTGCTTGATTTCTGCACTTTTAAACAATGTTGTTTTCCTTTTTTAACAGTTACTTATTAGTATTAGGGGTGTTCACGGTCCGGTTTTAACCGAAAAAACCGTCAATCCGGACCGCGAATCGGTTAAATGGTCAGTTAAAAAAACCTTAAAAAATCCGGTGGTTAATTTTTTTAAAAATCCGGAATAACCGGTCCCGGTTAACGGATTACCTGCGGCAAACCGCCGGTTTAACCGGACAGTACCGGTAAATATTAAAAAACTATAACAAATTTATATATACATTCAGCCATTCACTATGACCGACAAATATAATACATTCAATATAAATGCTTTGCTCTTATTATTTCAGGTGTATAAACTGACCTAAAAAATGAATGCTTGTTTGGGTTCAGTTTGCATAATTTAATCTTCATCATTTTTGTATTTTTATGTTTATGGGACGAAATGTGTATTTTTATGCTTATGGGACGAATTGTGTATTTTTTATTTCATTATTGTTGTTTTTCTTAATTTTTAGGCCTAAATAATCTCTTTTGGGCCTAAAATTGAAAAATAAAAATTAAGCCCAAAATGGAAAAAATAAAAAAATGAAGGCCCAAAATAAGGATTTTGGATTTAACCGGTTAACCGCCAAACTGGACCGTCCAATGCGGTCCAGATTGTGGTCGGTTAAAAAATAAAACCGGTCCGGTTATGGACAAGAAAAAAATTAACCGTTAGGTCCGGTTTGATCATGGTTGGGGCTAAAACCGGACCAATTTGGACCGTGAACACCCCTAATTAGTATTTTGTGCAGTGTCCTCAAGTTACTGACTATATTTTACAATTTTCTCAAACATCTGACATTGAAAATTGCGATAGACCATAATTTAGGTCTTGTGCCATTTAAAATGAAAATTATTGCTCTGCTAATATTCCTTTTGAACAACCTATATGTTTCTTATTTCATTGCAACTAATGTTATATTCATTCTCATTTCGTGCACAAGTACGTCATCCAAATCAAATTATGACATAGGAAAACAATAATATAAAGAATAATAATATTTTTTTCGCAAATAATACATACAAATATTTTAGCTTCGTCAATTGTTCGAGTTGGGGGACCAATGGCCCTGATAAGCCTTTATTGCCGAGTTCACTGACAAGAAAATTGGATAAGAAAACATATGATTAGATTAACATCTCATAATCCCATCTAATCAATGTCAGAAATGAATGGCACGAATCTATAAATCTATTTCGTTTGGGATTCATCAACAAAACGTACGAATACTTGCAATTTAACACGAAAACGAAAGATGAAAGGAACATTGATGCCATGCTTACATTCTTACTACATTGCTTGAGCTGTCGCATTGTACATGTTCCCATGTGCAAGGGTTGACAAGAGTAGGGTCCCAGTTTTCTAAAACATCTTGAGGATCACTTAGGGCTTGCTTGAAGGCGTATAAGGCATCACCTAATTAAACAAACACATAAACACCAGAAACTAATTAAAGGATCAATATATAAGCCCATTACATATCATATCATAAGGTGAAAATGCATTTTATTCCATCAGTTCTCTCGTTTTTCCATTTGGACCCTTTACTTTTTTTTTTATTTCATTATAGTACAACAACTTTGATTTTATGTACATTTGCATCCGCTAATGTGCGCTAAAACTCTAAAACTAAAATTTATGTTAATTAGGCAGACACGAGGCCTAAAACAAAAGGGATTTTGTAGGCAGAGAGGGGCTAATAAATATTACTGTAACAACCAAATTAAAACTAAATCGGTAGCGGCGAACTGGGAGAAAATTTCAAAAAGTTTTGAATGAAAATTAAACCAAATTAAATATTATTGCAACAAGTTGAATACATAAGTACTTGTCCAACAAAAATAAACGAACTACTGTATCCAACCTGTAACCAATTTAATGAACTAAAATTTTATTTTCCCATTATATAAAGTAGTAGTAGTCCACAAATTTTCCTAAAAATAATTAAAATGAAACGAACACATGAAAATAACGTCAATAAATACAAATTACGAACCTTCGGTGTTAGCATTACTAACCCTCAGCCTCAAGGTCAAGGTGAAGCACACAACCACTAGAGATAGCACACTAGCTCTTCCCATTTCAACAACACACTCGTAATAAATCCAAAATGCAATTTTGATAATAACAATAAAGGAGCACAAAAATATATATCTTTATAACTTGCTTATGGGTTGGATCAACCTTTGAACATCACTTTTTATAGGCAAACTCGTACTTGTGAGGAAACATTCAAGTCTTATAATGCCAGAATACAAAGTTGAAATTGGGGTGAGGGGCAATGACTTTATACATGCAAGTTCACTTTTTTATACTTATTTTTTATTTAATTAAGAAAAAGCGGCCTACTAAATTAATGGCCTACAACATATGCAACCTAATTGTCACTAACCTAAGCTTTTGTGATGACTCAATTAGTCAAAAATTTGAACAGTCCTAAAATTAGGAAAATGCATGCGCTAATTTATCTATTTTTTTAAGTTAATAATTTTTCTATTTGCTAGTAGAATTTTCATATAATATATCAAATTAATAGTAATTTGACGAGTTTCTATTTGATATTCATATTTCTTATATAAAATAAATAAATAATTCATTTTTTTATTATAAAATCAAATCATCAGTTAAGACTAACTAAAAATTAATAAAAAATTGTATATCAATTCAAAAACCATTTACAAATTCATTACATATGAACTAGAAAGCTATCATAATATAAGATAGGCAAATCATACAAGTAAAAATTCTCATTTTAAATATAATAATAATGTAATTTTTTAAAAAATATTTGAAATTTAAATAATAAAAACCTCTCTTACATTTTTTTAAGGATTAGTATAATTTTTTAACTAACACCTTCTAATTACGGGTGCTGTACTAGTCTTATTAACTACTGAACAAAATTATATTTTTACAAAAGGAAATAATTGTGAATAAATAAAAAAATGTTGAGTTAATAAGTTAGTTTAAATTATTATACAAATTGTTTTAGCTGTTAATCTTTAAATATGTTATGTTTAATTTGTAATTAATAACTATCATAAATATCAGATTAATAAATTTATGTATATATTAATATATAGTAATTTATATACAGATTAATCCAAAATGCAATTTTGATAATAACAGTAAAGGAGCACAAAAATCTTTATAACTTGCTTATGGGATGGATCAACCATTGGACGTCACTCTTTATTAAATTTTTATTGGACGTCACTTTTTAGTAAAGGAGCACAAAAATCTTTATAACTTGCTTATGGATCAAACTCGTACTTGTGAGAAAACATTCAAGACTTACAATGTCAAAATAGAAAGTTGAAATTAGGAGGAGGGGCAATGACTTTTTTTATTTTATTAACTTTTTTTTTATTAACTTTATTTTATTTTATTTTATTAACTTTTTTTTTAATTTAAAAAGAAACATGGCCTAAGCATATATATTCAACTTGTCTGTCACTAACCTAAACCTTTGTGGTGAGTGTGACTCAACTAGTCAAAAATTTCAATACTGCTAAAAGGTAAAATTACAAAAATGATACATTAAGTTGGGCATTGTCAACAAAAGAAACAATTTGTTGTCCCTCACGGAAAAGATACACTTGGTTGGCTTTTTACACGAAAAAGATACAAATTTACAAAAATGATAAACTAAGTCAGGCATAAGCAATCCAAAGTCAGGCATAAACGATACACTTAGTGTATCGTTTTTGTAAATTTGTATCTTTTTCGTGCAAAAAGCCAACTAAGTGTATCTTTTTCGTAATGGACAACAAATTGTCTCTTTTGTTGACAACGCTCAACTTAGTGTATTATTTTTGTAATTTTGCCCATGCGCTAATTTATCTATTTTTAAGTTAATAATTTTTATTTGCTATTATAGTTTTCACTAGTACAACGCTCGTGAACTACACGGATGTTGGAAAAAAAAAATTAATTGTGCAACAAAGAATGAAAAGAAGTAAAGTTCTTATTGTGAAAGAAGAATTATAACTAATTAATAATAAAGCATAAAAAATTAACGATATTTTAAATTCTAAAAAATATTTTATATGAAGTATTATATATTTTATTAAGATATATTCATTTTTTCAAAAGTAAATGGAATAATTAATTTAATATGCATTTAATATAATACCCATGAACAACAGGAATGCATTAAAATAAATATAAAATTTTTTTATCAACAGAAATAAATAAATATATTTATAGTCTTAAAATATAATGATAAAAAATTAAGTATGAAATTAATAATTCAAAAATTAACAAAGTTAATTATTTAAAATAATATAAATATTTTACAACATTTATGATATTTTTAAATATCTTAAGCTTTATAATATCCAATACTTTAAAATATAATGTGTTTTAAAACTTTATGAAATATAATGATTATTTTTATTATTTGTAATTATAATTAATATTTTTTTTATTTTTAAGATCATTATAATATTCAATCTCTTTGTAGTTTTTAATTAAGTTTAGACATAAATTTTGAATATTTTTTTATATTTATTTTATTTTCATACTTAGTTTATATATATTCTTTTCAATTAAAATAAATATTTTATGATATGTTAGTATAATTCAATTTCTATTGCTTCATAAGATAATTTGTAGTTTTTCTTTATATTTTTTAAGTTAGTTTGATAAATCAATTTAAATTTTATTTATAAGGTTATACATTAATGTTTTATATTTTATATATGTGATATGGATGCTAAATCGAAGATCGATAAAAGATAATTAATTTGATATAGCATATGTAAAAAAAAATACAAACAAAAAGTTATAAAATTTAAAAAATACGAAGACACATTTATGATAATTGGTGTATGAATTAAATAAGAAAAAGAATTTAAATGGTAATGTAGGAAAAAGAAATCTAAAATAGTTTCTGGAAACTAATTATATAAGAGATTCTTTGTGCCAATCCATCCAGGGCCGCCCACAGTCTCTTACGTACAATCGCATTTACCGTGGTCGGAAAACATTGAATTTCATTTCTGGGGAAGAAAGTGCTTCATTTCGTCAACAGCGAAGAAAACATGCGAAGGGGACCCTCCAGACTTGTCAATTCTTTAAAAAAAGAGATCAATTACATATTTAATTGAATAATATTAATATTTTATACAATCCAAGTCTAATTATTATTTTATAAAAAAATACTATTTTTATATCCAACCCTAGCTACGAAGCATATTTTTTGGCACATAGGATTCCGAAGCGTACGAGTCTCCCATTTAGGCTCAACGCATTCTGTAATTATATATAGGGTGTATTTAATATATTAATTAATTATAATTTGAAGAGTTTCTATTTATAATGATATTTCTAATATACCATAAATAAATAATTTAATTTCTTATTATAAAATTAAATCATCAATTAATACTAATTAAAAATTAATAAAATTGTATACCAACTCAATTTATAAATTCGTTACATATGTATTAGAAAAGTTATCATAATATAAGACAGGAAAATCTTACAAGTGAAAAAACTCATTTTAAATATAATAATAATGCAATTTTTTATAAAGTATTTAAAATTTAAATAATAAAAGTTTCTCTTACATTTTTTTTAAGAATTTCAGTATAATTTTTTTCACTAGCACCTCACGGGTGTTGTACTAGACTTATTAATTATTGAACAAAAAAATATTTTTAGAAAAGAAAATAATTGTGAATAAATAAAACATTGTTGAGGTAATAAGTTAGTTTAAAATTATTATAAAAATTGTTTCAGTTGTTAATGTTTAAAGATGTTAAGTTTAATTTGTAGTAACTAAATATTAGAAATGTCTTATTAATAAATTTATTGTACACATAGTATATATTTGTATAAGTAATAGTGGAGGTATACAACTCACCAGCTATGAAAACTTTCAATTCTCTCTTCTCAAAAATCTTTTACAAAGTTTTCTGGAACAAAAGTAATATATGTATGTATTTTATATATATATATATATATATATATATATATATATAAGTAGGTTCAAATGAGGATAGGAGATAATGAAAGAAATGAAAATGAATTTGAACCATTGAATCCTACATATCAATGGTCATGATCGAGTCAAAATTTATTAATAACAGTCAAACATGTAATGACATCCTAGTAAATAAGTGTACATATCACAGTCAATTGTATAATTACCACCCACGTGATCACACCCCCACCCACCTACTCCCACCCACCAATAATTAACTCTCTCTCACACACTTCTACACACACATCATACATACACTTACTCACACTCACACATTCTGACATACACACACTCTGCACACACACACACACATACGCAATTGTAAGCCCGTCGGCACAGTTGCCCGTCACCGGTCAAACCGCCCGCCACTAGTCCTTCTGCCCACCGCCAGTTAAGCCGCCCGTCGCCCAAGTCTCCCCCTTATTCTTACAAGTTGGCCGCGCCTAAAGTCCCACCGCCGTTCATTATCCACCTATAGCCACCATCACCGCCATCGCGCTTTCGCCGTTCAGCACCAGATTCGGATGTGTCACAAGGTAAGTCGGTAGAGAAGACGACGCGTCAGTAATAGTCGGGGACGTTTTCTGAATTGTGCCGACAGTGACGTGATCCATTATTTTGTAGTATTTTGAAGGTAGTTGGTAACCGAGTTACCCGACCTCGAGTCGTTCTAAAAGGAAGACGGTTCGGAGCTTCGTTCACTACTCAATTGTCCAAATCACACAAAATGAGAAAATAAAAGCTAAACATGCTAATCAATTTAGATGGGGGGTGAATTAACACTAATTGCACTAGGAATTAAAAGCAACAAGCAAACGAGAGAATAAAGCAATTAACACTACCAGAGTCTCTATGCCATCGAAACCAAATGAATTCAACGACGAACAATATGCAAGTTCTTAGCAATAGGTCACTAACCCTAACCCTCTAATCTAAGTGATTAAGCTCTAAATAGAGTCCTAACCCTTAATCTAGATAGGAAAGTAATTAATCCCTACTAAAACAAGCAAGAGCAATGATCAAGTCAAACATCTTCTCCATCATCAAGCAACACTCAAAATTACCTTGAAAAATTTCATAAGTAAAAACGAG